ATATATATACATATACACCTTATTTAATACATGTTTCAAAGTTATGCTGTAATAAGGTACTACATTAAGAAATAAAACAAACTGATTCAAGAATATAAACACAAAATTCCATATAAATCCATTCCGTGGTTCTTGGGTTGTTTCATGCATACAGAAGGGTAGATTGATGAACAGACTGACGAATTTAACAGGTGCTCCACATGATTGCAAACACACCAAGAAATAAAAATTCACCATCTGAACTGAAGTAAATATACAGAGAATCAGACAATAGGGGATTTCAAACTTCCCAGCAATACTAGATGCCAGATTTTAATATTGAGCAACATGTCTGCATCCAGTTTTGCTTGAAGCTCAGTAAATGTGCTACTGAAACCCTTGAAATGCTTTGTGAGGCTTTTGGAGAATATTCTTTAAGCCAAACAATGATTTTTTAATGGCATTCACTTTTCAAGGTCAGTCAAATGTCAGCTGAAGATTATGAACTTTCGGGGTGACCAAGCACCAGCAATATGATAGAAACTATTGAAAAAAATAAAAATGTCATCAACAGACTATCGTCCAACAATCCATGAGCTCACAGATATCGCTGGGATTAGTTATGGAGTTTGCCAGGAGGTCTTAACAGAAAATTTGAACATGCACTGCATTGCACCTTCATCATGACAATGCACCAGGCCACACATCCCTGAAAACCACAGAGTCTGTTACTAACAATATGGTTATCATTCTCCATCCTCCCTGCTCGCCGGACTTAGACCCCTGTGATTTCACTTTGTTTCCCAAATTGAAATGAAACTGAAGAGACGACATTTTGAAACAGTGTCTGATATACAAAGGGAATTGCCAGTGGTACTTGACAGCATTAAGGAAAATGACTTCCATGGTGCTTTTGAAGCATGGAAAAAATTATGGGATCACTCTGTACATTCCCAAGCAGACTATTTTGAAGGAGATGGCAGCCAATATTGTTAGCATTAGAACAGCATTAAAAATATGCAACACTCAGCCAGCTGAACCATGCACATGATCATTAAAGAATACAACACATGGCTAACAGTTTTTAAGTAAAAGTGTTACCATTATACATGGATATTGCTAGATGCCTCATGGAACACTGAAGTTTCTTGCTATGGAAACCTTCCTTAAATTCAGAATAATAAATATATTACTTTATTGTAACCCACCTCATAATTTGGCCAGAGACTAGATTTAAACTTGTTAGACCAAGGCAGGCAAGGCATTTTATCACAATCAGTTGGTTTTGTTGTGTGTATCATAGGCCCCTGCATTTAGACAATGCAGTCTACCACAGAGGGAACACATGCAGCAGTTTGCATCTCAACTTATTTCTGCAACCAATCAGTTTTTCAAACATAAATTTCAGATTATTTCCTTTTGTATTCAGTTTTATTATCCCAATTCATCTTCCTTACTTACTCCCCCCATTTAAAACCTCATCACAAACCTTTTTCTTTTTTTAAGATTCATTATGATATTATCATTCCATATATGTCTGGTGCTCTCAACTGGTCTCTTTCTGCAAACAATAAGTTTACAATTTATATGGATTCTCCGTGGTATTATGTGGGCTCTTGTGAACATGGTAATGAATCACTGGATTCAACAAAATATGGGAAATTTCTTGAACACTTTATTGTCAGACCACGTAAGTACAGGAAGTGAGTTGTGATCTGTCACTCTATCTTTCATATTAAGTATATTTGTTTAATGTTGAATGTTTCTATCCTATAAGTTGTCATACACAGGCAATGCTAATCCTACATCAGTAAATAATATATAGAAATATGAAACAGAAAACAAAATATTTTTAGGACTGTATGTAGGAAATTCTTTTTCAAACATGGTTACAATTAGCCTTACCTTTCTGTAAAACTACTGCCTTATGGATGCGTGGAACAAGAGAGCTGTTTCTCATACAAGAACTTCCATCTTGTTCCCCTTACGTACGATGCGAATCTGTCCTGGCTGCACCTCTGGAAGACCCATGCACTTGAAAGTGAATGTCACTGACTGCTGGCCAAAATTTGCCTCAAATCTGAATAAAAGCAAACAGGAAATAAATTTAAAAACTTACATATATAAGACTGAATGAAGGAGAAAGAGAATAAAGCCTACATGTCAATAAGGCATGTAAATTAAGGTAACAGTCTAAGAAATTTGTTAAGGACTTCAAAATTCTTTTTAATAATGCCTTTCCTTACTTTTCTGTTGTGTAATAATGGAGTGATAACATTATATTGATCTATTCCTAATTAAATTCCCAGCTTTTACTACGTTCATAGCTTAACCGATTCACATATTTAAACTTCCATATTTTAAACATTCAACATTTCTGATTTTGGTTTTCTAGGAACAGTAACAATTATCTATACATGTGCTGAATATAAATTCTTCTGTGACAGAAAATTAGCAACCATAACTCATAACATCATCATTGTTGCCAGTTTTATCATCATAAACATCATCATCATTTTACTGGACTGTTCTGGTTACAAGGTTGAAAACAGAATTGGTTCCTCCATCTCTTCTTCTCCCTTTTGGTAAATAATGGTAAGTTCTTTTAGCAAATCTGCTTAAATTCCTCCTTTCTAAGTGGCAGAACCAACTCATTTGATATTCAATCATTTTGCAAGATTGATTTCCTTCTGATACAATCTGTTCTCCTATAACCTGCAATGACCCTTAGAAACCTTGTCACAGCTGTCTCAGTTTGGTTCTCCTGTTGTTTAGTTAGGGTTCAGCACTATTTATAGCAATGTGGATATGGTCATTACTTTATAAAACTTTGGAGTCTCTGCCCTTGATCTAACAGCGTTATTTTAATTGTGTCACACATGTGGGAATTAATTCCATTTTGAAACCATTAAGACAGTTAAGATCTATAAAGTACCCTAGCGGTGGTCATACGTTCTATCTTCTAGGATCTAAAGCCATGTAGTCCACTGAAAGTCAACCAGTGTTTTGGAGGAACATGTCGCCTCCAAATTCAGGGTGGAAGAATAAGCCAAGCAAGAAACCAGCATAAGCTAAGGCGCACATTGAGCTGTGTGGTGCAGTAGGGGCAGGGCAGGGCAGGGCAGCACGGAAAAAAGAACTGTGTGGCACAGTTGTCGACGTATATTGGAAAGCAGTTTTTTTCAGCAGTTTGATGAAGGCAGGGGTAGTTTCTGCGTGTAACCAAATCGAAAATCAAAAACATGTTTGCGGAATACCTTGATTTGAGCTCTGAGTCAGATTTGGACAGCGAGTTAGAAACATTACTATTACTCTATCGGAAGTCAATGAAGGTAAAGCTGTGGAAAAATGAATACATGAAAAAAAGAGGAACTCACGGGGAATTTGCACTGAGAAGAGAATTCTCCAATGAACGATTTGTGAACTATTTCCGTGTGAATCGAGAGGAGTTTGAAGAAGTTCATAGCATGATTCAACCTATTATTTACTCCGAGGGATGCAATGTGATCATTCTCCAAATTTCTTGCTTAAATTTACTCTTCATATATTGCGAATGGCTGGTGTCGTACAACACTGGGTGGTTACGCACCAATTCTATCAATTTCTCCTCAAATGATATCATAACACTTAAACAAAACTTAAAACAAAAAAAAAAAAAACACGCAATGAATTGCAAAAACCGCAAAGCGCTGAGCGGAGAACGAGCGCCTATGTCACATGTTTTCTGTGTCAGATCCACAAGTGTGGAGCAGGTCCGTCTCTGCGCAGTTCTGCCCTGCCCTGCTCTGCGCCTCAATTCATGGGTTCCCCTTCCAAAGATAGAGTCACAGAAACTGAGCTGCGCTGCCTGAGTCACCTGCGCGTCAATGTGCGCCCGGCCTAAAGCAGGTAACTCTGCTTGCTACCTCTGGACATTTACTCTTCTTCACAATGTTCAAAAGTATGAAAATCTCACTAAGTGTGGCAGTACTGTACTGAAACTTGGATTTTTCAGTACAATCCAGAAACCAAGCACCAGCAGTCAATGAAAAACAAAACCCCCAAAAGACTCACACGTCAAGTTAAAAGTGATGACAATGTCATGTTGTTTCTTTGACTTCCAATAAATTCTCATTCAGCACTTGTCTCTGACAGCCAGATTGTCAACCAGACATTCTATATTGAAAATTATTCACATATGACAGATAGAATCCACAGAAAAAGAACAAAACTCTGGATTACTCAGTATGACAATATGTCAGTGCACTCATTGGACTTCACATGTCAAGGAGTTTTTGGCACAGATTCTTATGACATATCTGCACCAATTTCCTTATTCACTTGGCCTAGCCCTTAATGACTTCTCTGTATTTCCCACACTCAAGAATCACTTAAGAGGACTTCATTTTGACTTGGATGAAGACATGAAAATGATAGTGGCACTCAGAAGGACATCACAAGATTTCAAAAATTGTTTTTATTATGGTTGGAAATCTAACAGAAGTGTATCTATAGAAATAGGTGATCACTCTGAAGGAATGTATATATTTTTTTTTTCCATCCCATACCTCTGCTTTTTACTTAGTTCAGGAATGTCTGAGTTGTACCTCACAAAGTAAAGAATGAACAGTTTCACACAATACATATTGTGATACTTATAAAAAAGTGACTGATATGCATATTAGATATAAAAAAATATAAACACCTGCACATGTGGCATAGAGGATAAAACGTGGCATGGAACCTAAATGTTGCCAATTCAGTGAAGTCTGGCCAGTAAGAAATTAAGCGACAGTTTTTTGACAAATAATGATAAGGTGACTTTTAGCTACAATATTTTACCATGGAATGAAGTGCTTGCTGCATCAATAAAGTAAGTAAAGTAAAGGTATCCATGTAACAGGCCGTGGAGACCCATAGGGTTGTGAGATGTTGAGATTCCCACATTTTGCAGACAATCGGTCCATAGATGGCGGCAAGGTTGTCAGCTCTACATGCCGGCTGCCAAGAATATTCCTGGTACTCATTTCTGTCAGAGGCTGAGTCGACCCCAGGGTCATAGTGTGGCTGGAAGGATTAGGTCAATTCAAAAAATCCAATGACCTCATTGGGACTTGAACCCGCAACCTTCCAGCTTGTAGCATAGTGCCTCGACAAACTACACTACCGCATGCCTCTTGCTGCATCAATATTGTAATAAAATGTTTAATTAACATTTCAGATAGTTTCTGAAAAGGGTTCCTCAGCCAATTCCTAACACACACAGTCCATAGACAATTGGTGTGGAAGTAGTTCACAACTTGCAAGCAAGATGTCAGAGGAACATTGCATCAACCAAAACACAATCTTGCAAAGAGTGTTAGGTAAGGACTGATAATATTATTAAATTTCATGAAAAGTAATTATTCCAGAGCAGAGTTGTGCCATATACAGACTTATAGAATGACAGACATATGAAAGAAACCAACTACCTCCAAAAAGCAGAGGAATTCAGCTAGTCAAGAAATTTTCCATCTCACATGAGGGGGGACCCAAAAATAACCGGAATTTATTTTTGTTATTTTTTATTTTTGCATTTTTATTGAACTGTATATTAGTCCCCTTCAAAGTATTGTCCATGTGCATTAATGCACTTGTCCCAACGCTTTTGCCACTGCTCAAAACAGTGCTGGAATTCTTGAGGCTGGATACTGTTCAAAGCCTTTAGCGTGTTTTCTTTGACTTCATCCACATCACGGAATCGCTTTCCTTTCAGACTTCTCTTCATCCGTGGAAACAAAAAAAATCCGACAGAGCCAGGTTGGGTGAGTAAGGTGGATGAGGCACAATCACCATGTTGTTGCTTGTCAAAAACTGTCGGACCGTCAAAGCTGTGTGGGCTGGAGCATTGTCGTGGTGAAGCAACCAGTTCCCATTTCTCCACATTTCGGACCGTTTTCGTCGCACACTCTCTCGTAATCTTCGTAACACATCCAGGTAAAAATGTTGGTTCACTGTTTGTCCTGGCGGAACGAACTCTTTGTGGACAATGCCATTCACATCAAAAAAACAAATCAACATTGTTTTCACATTGGATCGCACTTGACGCGCTTTCTTCGGTCGTGGTGAAGTTGGAGTTTTCCACTGGCTTGATGATTGCTTTGATTCTGGATCGTACCCGTAGCACCAAGACTCATCGCCAGTCACAATTCTTTTAAGAAATTCTGGATTGTTCTGCACTTCACTCTTCAAGTCACGGCAAACATTCAAGCGGCTTTCTCTTTGGTCATCTCCGAGCAAGCGAGGAACAAATTTTGCAGACACCCGTCTCATGTGCAAACCTTCGGTTAAAATTCGCTGGACCGTGCTCCATGAGATGTTCGTTTCCTCAGAAAGTTGGTCAATGGTCTTTCGACGATCTTCATCAATTGCACGTTTGATTTTGGCAATGTTTTCGTCATTTCTTCCTGTCGAAGGACGCCCGGGGCGTGGCATGTTTTCTGTTGACATGTTGCCAGATTTGAAACGGGAAAACCACTCGTAGACCTGTGATTTCCCCAAAGCACCATCATTAAAGGCTTGCCGAAGCATCCCAACAGTCTTGGCTGCAGTTTTCCCTAACAGAAAGCAAAATTTCACGCACACTCTTTGTTCCTTCTGGTCGGCCATCTCACTAATTGCCAAAGGGTTGAAACAGGAACGCACACAACAGAGCACCACAGACAAACCACTTAACACAGACTGACGCCAGCTCACTAACAGTCGCAGGAGACCCCCAGCTAACACCACCTAGCAGCACAACTTGTAACTACAAAGCATGCGTGCGCAACAGGTCGGTTCCGGTTATTTTTGGGTCCCCCTTCGTATGTTACCTGAATATTCATTACCATGTATACAAAAGTCTACCAGTGAACTCTATCCTAACCCATATGAATTCAGCACACATTCTCATACACTATTATTTCCACATCCATTATCTGTCTATGTCTAGGTCTAACCAACTGGACTCTCACTTTCAGATTTTCAAACTAATATTTTCTCATCTCTCGCATACATGCTATATGCTCTAATACAGCTCAGTCTCCTTAATTTCATTGCTTTATCATAAAAGGGACCTAGTGGGCCTATGCCACACTTGCCAACACGCCTAAAAATAATAACCAAATGGTAACTTTTCGATATTTTGAACTGTGAAGAAAGGATCTATAGAAAAATAATAATTTGAGTTCAGAACAAAACATGGCCTTTGTATTGAACTGCTTACTCAGTGCTTATGTTGACTTCGGGTGGTTTTCCAGTTGCATTCTGGACCACAAGGAACAGCTTGGTGACAATTTCAATCACATGGCCAGTCTGGAAGACAAAGTCGCCTTTCTTCTTGCTGAGGTCACTCTGAAACAGGCAGCCAGGAATGTTCTGGTGGCTCGTCACCTCTGAGCTGGGGCTGGGCTAGAAACATACACCATATGGCAGCTACGCTAACACCTACATCAACTGAGGTTACAAGCTACAAGACAAGGACTAGCCTGTACAGGATGGAGGCTTACGTTCAGGTCAACAGTAACACTATAGCGACACTAAGTAATGGCAGCAAGCATTCTAGAAGGTCTGATTTCAAATTATTAACATAAAATTTATGCGTCAAACTGCAGCAAATTTTGAAGTCATGAATTCACTCACTCACAGAGATGAGCCCTTCTCGAGAAACCACCAATTGTGCAGCTACTCAAGAATGTCCAAGCATTTTATGGGACCTGTTGGTTCATTACCATGTTCACAAGAGCCCTCCACTGGTCCCTATCCTCAGGCAGATCAATCCAGTCCATACCATTCCATCCTATCTCTCACAGCAATCCCTTGCCAACTGTGGAAATCATGAATCTGAAAATTTACATTTGTATCCAGTTCTGTCAACCATATCCATGGTTTTTTAATCTAAGTATATCCAGACCAAATTAGTGGTTTCCACACGAGAAGATCCACATCTGTTTGGTAGAAGGGCTCTAATGGCACCTTAAACCAGTACAATAGCTTCCAGATTACAATTTGAAAGTATCTTTTTATGACACTGTTTAATGCTTCATGTCTATTGTACTTTTAAACACATTACTACATATATTTGTGTTTAGTGAAAGAATAGGCAACTTAGGTCTTTAAGTGATAAAAGCTGCCATCATTCCCCCAAATCCAAGTTTTCCACAAGACCTTGGTCTTGCCAACCACAGTGTAACCTTTGCACTTGGCCAGGGATTGAAGGAGGCTAAAGTGTATCAAGTGTTTCATTTATATCAGTCCAAGCTCCAGTTCAATAATCTACTTACAGTAAAAAAATATTAATTCAAGCTCAAGATGCCAAAATAAGATTCTCCAAGGAACATAATTTCCACAGGTTAGAGATGAGACTGGAAATGGGGTAGAAGGTGTTTAAAGTTTGGCCTAGTTCAAGATAAATAACGTCTGTCTATTCAAAATTGAAATAATTTTATAAACAAAACTTCAACATATTCTACAACCACACCCAATGCACTCCGGACTCATAATATGATTTTTATTCCTTCTGGTACATCTCAGAAGTACTTAAAATTATATGTTTGCAATACAAATAATAATTAGAAGACACAGAGAAAAGAAAGCAGATAAAAGTGCAAGATACTATTTTCAGCAATATCATCTTTGTTGTATGTACCCTCCTTTAAACACATCTATACTCTAAGACTGATATTATCTACATTAAACTAACTCCCTGGAGCCCAGTTTTCTTTGTCAGTTAAACACATCTATACTCTAAGACTGATATTATCTACATTAAACTAACTCCCTGGAGCCCAGTTTTCTTTGTCAGTTAGCCCTGAAATTCCCCATGTTCAAAGAATCTGAAAGTTTATTACCATGATTATCACCTTATTCACAACAGCCTGCCATAGGTCCTTAACCAGAGCCAAATTAATCTAATCCACACCTTCCCAACCTACCTCTTTAAGATTAAATTTAATATAATTCTCCCACCTATGTCTAGGTGTTGCATACTACTTTGTCCAAAAAGTATCCGACCTTGGGCCGGGAAAACAAAGTTCTGTATCTGGGTGGTTACAATACCTAATCCCCTTCAAAGTAGGCCCCTTGTGACTCCACACATTTAGCCCAGCAGTTCTTCCATCACTGGAAGTAATTCTGGAAGGCTTCTTTTGGAATAGCGTGCAGCTGCGCTGTCGTGTTCTGTATGATGTCCTTGTGGATGTCAAAATGGGAGCCTTTTAGCGGTGTCTTCCATCTTGGGAACAGTCAGAAATCACAAGGAGCCATGTCAGGAGAGTAGGGAGCCTGGTGAACCTGCGGAAAGCCTTGCTTGGCCAGGAAACACTGGATCAGGTGTGATGAATGCGCGGGGGCATTGTCATCATGCAGCTGCCAGTTGCGTGCGTCCCACAGCTCCGGTCTCTTGCGACGAACTGCTTCACAAAGATGGCAGAGGACTGCTTGGTAGTACTCCTTATTGACAGTTTGGCCTAGTGGTGCATATTCATGATGCACAACATCCCGGTAATTGAAAAAAAAACAGTCAGTATAGCAAGTGTCACGTAACTTTGAACAAGGCCAAGAGAGCCAAGAGTAACCTTGAATGCGCAGAAGAAAAATTTCAGACAAGGGGGTGGGTTGCAGGAATGCGGGGAATGCGTGGCCTTGTTTGAAGTTACGTGACACCTTCACATTGCTCCGAACCTGTCTTGCGTTTTTGGGCCACGGGGATGATTGATGCTTCCATTGTGACGTCTGGACCTTGGTTTCCTGGTCATATCCATACACCCATGACTCACCACCAATGATCACAGTCTTCAGGAACTGAGGATCCCTACTTGACGTCAAGGCAGAGTTGTTGCAGCTCCAGCAAAAGCAGCTTGGGCTCAAATTTTGCCGCCACTCTTCGCATGACGAAATCTGAAGTTAAAATTATGTTTGTGGAACCTCTGATGATCCCAACTTCATCAGCAACTTCCCGGATAGTCAAACGATGGTCCTCCATGATCAGTGTCTGCATTTTTTCAATGACATCAGCATTTCGGCTAATTGATGGTCTCCTGGAATGCTGGTCACTGTCCGCTGACCCACGGCCATCTTTAAAGTGATTGAACCACTCTTTAATTTCAGTGACCCCCATTGCATCATTGCCGTAAGCCTGCTGAATTTTGCGGATTGTTTCCGCTTGGGTATCTCAAAGTTCCTGACAAAACTTGATGCAGTATCACTGCTCCAAGCGTTCTGTCATCTTGAGCGGAACGAGAATGCAACAAACACGTGTTACACCACTTCGCTATCTGGCAGCCACAGACGCATCCAGCCATGCTGCGAGTCAGCAAAAAATCATGCATGCGCATGAAAGTCCCTTCTACCACTATGCTCAGTTTTGCCACCCCTTTGGCCATTACTTAGAGCGGCAAAAAAATAAAGTCAGATATTTTTTGCACAGCTGTGTATAGGCTCTTCCGTCCAGGTTTTCCAACCGAAACTCTGAATGCATTCCTCATCTCACCCATGCATAATACATGCCCTGCCCATTTCATCCTCCAGTCTGATCATTCAAGTAATATGTGCTGAAGATTAACTGATTTACACCTTAATATAAATGATTTGAACCCTGAAATGGAGTAACAAGTATAAGAGACTTGGAACTTTCTTATCAGAAAGAAATAACTTAATATGACACAAATCCAGGGTACATTTTCCACTTTTTTTCTTAAACAAAAAATATCAGAGAAATAATACTGTCACGTGTTTAGTTGGTCATACGACAAATAACTTCACGCCGTATTGGATATAGCGAATATTTTAATATGAACTAAATTTGTAATGATTATAATGTAACAAATCATATCAGAATATTGTTGAATCACATGGACTAGGAAGACGGAATCACTGGGGTCAAATACTTATTGACTTTTGTGAACGAAACGGACTGACTGTTACCAACACTTGGTTCAAGAAGCCAAAGAGAAAACTTTACACATGGAAGGCACCTGGGGATTGGAGGCAGCATCAGCTGGACTACATCCTTGTGATTGATTCAGAAACAGTGTGAAGGATGTGAAGATGCTGCCTGGGGCAGATATTGACTCTGACCACAACTTACTGGTTGCCAAGTTTCGAACCAGGTTGAAGAAAATTATAAGATTCCAAAAGCGCAGACCTAGATGGGATTTGGAGAAGTTATATGCTCAAAGACAAAGGGTGCAATTGAAAGTGAAAGTGGAATTGCTGAAGTGCAGTGGAACAATATAAAAGAATGCATGTTAGATACTATTAGTGAACTGGTTGGTAAAGTTGAGAAGATAGCAAGAAAACCATGGGTTACACAGGAGATGATGAGTAAAATGGAGGAGCGAAGGAAATGGAAGAATGTCAACAATGAAGGAAGGAAGGAGGAAATACAGGAGACTGAGGAATGAGTTGAAAAGAGGGATAATCCACGCTGGACCCTTCTTAATTTTTGTTTGTATACCGCCATTGTAAAAAGGAATATGTTGAGATGATATGTAATGAGATTATAGAGTTTCAAAGGACAGGACGTTATGATTTGATGTATATGAAAACAAAAGAACTAGGATGGAAAGAGAACCATGGGATTCAAAATATTGGCATCGAAGACTCCCAGGGGAATAGAATAGTAGATCAGAGGAAAGTGCTGAAAATTTGGGAAAACTATATTACAGAACTATATGATCCACCTAA